AGAGGATCTAGAATTGTAATAAACTATTTGTCCTAACATTTTCAAAACAATTGGCTTAGATTTGGATTTTTAAAGGGAGAGTCAACAATTTATTACTGCTACTGTATATATGTTATTATTATTTATTTATTTATTCTTTTTATTATAATATTCAATATAATATTATGTGACATATTATTTTATTCTTTTATAACAATAATAATTTTAAAATTCAATTGTTTAATAATAATAATTTTATTTATTATAAGTTTTTTAAAGTATTTAATATAAATTTATAAACTTTAATATACAAGTAATTTAAATCAAATTAAACAAGATTAATTGATTATATATTTTAGAAAAAATATAAATAAAGTTAAAATAAAAAATTTTTTTATATAAAATTACAATTTTTTAAATATTAATAATAAATGTTATTTGAATTTAATGAAGCTTTATTATAGTATATAATATTTAAAACTAGAAGATTTTTTAACAAAGATCAAATTGAGTAATAACTAAAATAAAATAACTATATATATATCTATTATAATATTTCCTAATAAATTAAGGTTTTGTAATTCTTATTGTAATACATTTAAGCATAATTAATATTTTTAAAAAAATTTTTTTATATAACAAAAAATAAAAAAAAAAAATAAGTCACAGTATGAAACGATACAATATCTCTGGAATAAAGGCATCCAAGATATTAAAAAACTTTATAAAAGAACCAATATAGCTTTTTTAACTATTTATGATAACATAAATCAGTTAAAAAAGACAGGTTCAACAAAATACACTCATAACAATCACCATTTCTGAAAAATGACAAGCAAAGGATTAAAAGCTTTAAAACAATTTATTCACCAGAATTCTTTTTTCTCAATTAGAACATTGACTATAAAACTATTCAAAATAGATATAGAGATGTTGCATATGATTATAAAAAGATATTTGAATACTATAGATTATAAAAAAAATCTTTCAACTATAGCTTCAATGTTTACTGCAAAACAAAAGTGAAAACAGATAGAATGGGCAAGAAAACACCTTAATAACAATTGAAAAAGGATTGTATTTACTGACGAAACCATGTTTGCACTCTTCAAAAATACAATAGAATAATGGTATATAAAAGAAGAATGGCCTATCAAATGTATTTCTAAGGATCATAAGAAGGTTTTTGCTTGGGGAAGGTTTTATAAAAATGGAAAGACGAAATTATTTTGTTTTTCAAAAATAATAAATATCAGTTTTTATATAGATATACTTAAAAAACATTTTCCAAAAGTTAGAAAAAAGTTTGAGAATAAATGATATTTTTAGCAAGACAATAATCCAAAGCATACAAGTCATTTTGTCAAAGGATTTCTTGTTGATAATGTATCAGAAATTATTGACTGACCTTTATGTAATCCAGATTTAAATCTGATTGAAAACCTTTGGAGCATTGTTAAAAGGAACATTGAGAAGTAAATGTCATATAATCAAGTTGAATTAAAAAAATTTATAATTAAAGAGTGAAAAAAAATTCCAATTTCTATTTTAAATAATTTAGTGAATTTTATGAAGGAGTGTTACAAACTTATAATTGAAAAAGAGAGGGAATGCATCTCTTATTAAAAAAATGTTCAATAATAAAAAAATTTTCTCTTATTTTCGACTTAATTCCATAAAAGTTTCACATGATTTTAATGATTGGTCGCGGAGTAATGAGCAATTTTCATATTCTGATTTTGAATGTACTGTATATACAATATATTTTACGTTTAAATTATGTTTAGTTAATGTACAAAATAGATATTGTTAATGAAATAAAAGGTTTAATATACAATAACTTTTATATTTAAAAATTTTTTGTATTTTTTTGAAAACCTTATGTATTAGATTTTTTTAAATCAAGTAAATCGAAACACAATATAGATTATTTGTATCAGTTTCTTTTATCAAAAGTTCATAATAAAATCAATAGTACGTATATACAGTATAATTCGAATTTTCATAATTTTAGTCGCGTAACCTTGTTTCTCATAATTTACATAAGTATATTAAGTCATCAAATTCAACCCTTTTGATGGAGGTTTGAAAATAGTTTTTGAGCCCAGGAATTTTGGTCATAGGTAATTTTATTATATCTACTTTACATATTTTTAGACCTAGGTTAAGTGATTTTTGCCTTAAACCGTCGGATGCAGGAGCCTGGTTAGGACGGTCCAATAAGTATTGGTGAATCAATAATAATGTTTTTTGGCTTCACCACAGAAGTGAAAGTTGTAATAATAGCTACAATGTAAATTATCTCACGTCTAATATCTCACGTCTAATTATAATAATCACTTTGAAATATTCGTGTAGGAACGCACTCTCCTGTATATTCTAGTCTTTTTTATACTCGATCTCGTTGAATGTTTTCGTTTTCTTGTCGGATTACTTCCTCATTTGAAGATACGCGAAATCTTATTATTAATTGGAACGCATATTCCTTTTTTATAAAACCATGCGACCTTTCTTGCCGAATATTCGTCACTAGTAGCAGCTTTTGAAAACCAAAAGAACGCGTTCAAATAATCATATTTTGAGAGATATATTTTTCCTAATGCTAATTTTATCCATAACAAGGCTCTTTCGTCATCGTTGCCATAATCTAGTTGTAATTGTTCGCTGAGAAGGGTTTGTGCCATCACATACCCAGTTCGAGCCACCTTTTCCAAAGATTCGATACGCTCTTCACCGCTTTTCTTAAGGGAAAGTATTATATTTGCATCCGGATCAGCAGATTGGGCTGCCTTCTCAATAAGTTCTTCGGCCTTACCGGAATCCTTTTCTACTCCTAAACCCTCATTGTAGGCAGATGCTAATCTAACTAGCGCAAACGTAAAACCAGCATCGGCTAATTTCTGAAACCAAAAAAAAGACTTTTCGTAATCCTTCTCAAAAAGTTCACCGCTATTGTAACTTTCTGCAACCATACTCATTGCATAAACATTTCCCTGTTCTGCTGCGTCAATAAATAACAATTTGGATTCCTCGAAAAGCTTTTTACGTTGTTCCCCCGTAGATTCTAGTGCACATTTAACTAACAGCATTCCTAGGTTACATTTTGAATATGAGAGTGAGATTTTGTATACCATTTCTGCGCTTCTTCTGGATCTGTCCATTCATTAAAGCCCAAACCCAATTCATAGCACAATCCAATGTTATGCTGAGATTTTGGTTCTCCAAGATCAGCAGCTTTTAGCCAATGTTCAAGCGCTTTTTTCGTGTCTTGGTCTTGATAAACACCTTTATAATACATGAGACCATGATAAAAGTGTTTTTGTGGAAGGTTCGAAAATTCTTTACTATTAAGAATTTTCCAAGCTGAATTTCCGCGCCTTGCCTGGAACTCTATTCGAAATCGTTCAATTACCTCCTTATAATCCTGTGAATTATTACTGAAAGGTTCGGGAATAATATCCTCCGGTTCGAATTCTAACATAAAATTACTGTGAAACCTATCTGATATTCCCAGAGGAGGCTTTTTATTATCTTTTCCGCGATAGCCTTCTACATCACCAAGCAGTAGTGGTCACAACTTGGTGCGCTGGAGGTCTTTTCTGAGGATCACGATGTAATAGCTGTTGCACCCCTATATTGAATGGCACCAAAATCGGATCTGGCGAAAGTTGTGTTTCGTTCATTGATTATTGATGTTAGCGTAGTCTCGTCTTGAATACTAATAAAACTTTCATGAAATATAGCACAAAAAACTAAACCAAGACTATAAATATCGGCTTTTTCATGTGAATAAGGAGTCGTACCAT